GATCATTAAAAAATCTGGAGACAACAGATGCTGGAGAGGATGTGGAGATATAGGAACACTTTTACACTGTTGGTGGGAGTGTAAATTAGTTCAACCACTGTGGAAGACAGTGTGGTGATTCCTCAAGGACCTAGAAATAGAAATTCCATTTGACCCAGCAATCCCATTACTGGGTATAAACCCAAAGGATTATAAATAGTTCTGCTATAAGGACACAGTGCACACGAATGTTCATTGCAGGACCGTTAACAATAGCAAAGACCTGGAGCCAACCCAAATGCCCATTGACGATAGACTGGACAGGGAAAATGTGGCACATATACACCATGGAATACTACGCAGCCATCAAAAACGATGAGTTCATGTCCTTTGTAGGGACGTGAATGAACCTGGAAACCATCATTCTCAGCAAACTGACACAAGAGCAGAAAATCAAACACCGCATGTTCTCACTCATAGGTGGGTGTTGAACAGTGAGAACACATGGACACAGGGAGGGGAGCATCACACACTGGGGTCTGTCGGGGGAAAATAGGGGAGGGACAGCAGGGGGTGGGGAGTTGGAGAGAGAGAGCATGGGGAGAAATGCCAGATGTAGGTGATGAGGAGGAAGGCAGCCAATCACACTGCCACGTGTGCACCTATGCAACAATCTTGCAAGTTCTTCACGTGTGCCCCAAAACCTAAAATGCAATTTAAAAATACTCTGGAAAAAGCTTTTTTAAAAATTATATTTTGAGGTGTTTTGCGGGGTTGGGGAGATTGGTGGTGGTCTGTTGGTTGGGGCATTGGAGAGATGCTCGTACTCTATAGTTGAGAAACAACTAGTGTAGTTATTATAGAGGCCCCATACGTAACTTGACAGAAATCCTGTCGCATATGCCCGGTGAAGGATGACAAGGGTTCTTATTTAGCATTGCTTGTGTTTGTTTAAATAACAAAGGATACAACCTAAATGTCCAACAGTAACAGAATGATAAATTCTGATACCTATATTACTTTGTGACAGTAAAATTAAATTGCAGTCAAATCAAGTGTACTGATGTGGCAAGATGTCTTAGACATTTTTTAATGAGTCCAAAAAGCAATTTACCGAACAATATATACAGCATTTCAATGTGCTTACACATAAAACTCTTTCTGTGTGATAGACTGTCCCTGATGTATGACATGGTTCAACTTCATATTTTTTCAGTTTCATGATGGTGCTAAAGTGATAACCTATTTGTGTATGAAGTATGCTCCTCTATTTACGATGGGGTCACATCCAGATAAGCCTATCCTAACTCCAAAACTCACTTTAGACCTAATGGTATTTTCAACTTACAATGGGTTTATTTAGAGATAGCCGCATCATAAAGGACCATCTGTATGTATAAATAGCTTTAACTTCATTGAAAGATGTCTAGAAGGATGCACCTAAACATTACAGCACTGGTTAGACTAGTAAGGAGCGACCTGTATTGTTTGTTCCTCAGGGGCTTTTATTTTGATATCTTTTGTTGCATCTGTTGTGATAACGCATTCAAGATATTTTATACATTTTAAAAATATAAACATCACTTATACAGCAGCTGTGCTTGTTCAGGTTTGGAACATTTAAGCAATCTAAAGTTTGACATTCAGAAATTCATCTCTCATGTCAGGGGTGTGTGTGTGTGTGTGTGTGTAAATTTTATAAATTTATAAGTATTTGCAGAAGAATGACATGAACAGCACAAAGAACCCCCAAATAGCTTCACTCTAATTCCCTATTTGCTGACATGTTACACACTTGCTTTCTCTTTCTCTCAGCCATTATTCTTTTTCTGAGCCATTTAAGACTTCTCACCAGTGTGTATTTCCCCAAAAGAAGTATACTCTCCTACTTAATATATACATTAAAAAGTTTTATGCATTCTAAACACTCGCTTGTATATACTGTTCTGCAGCTGGCTTTCCCCGCCCCCCACACTCCTCTCCAAAATGCAGTTATTCACATCAAGAAATTAAGATTGATAAAACATGATGCTATAATCCACAAGACCCATTCAGTTTCCCCACCTGTCCTAGCAATGTCTCTTTTTCCTTTCTGGTCCAGGATTTAATCAAGGAACATGGCTCCATTTGCTTGTGTCTCCAGTTTTCTTCCTCCTGGAGTAATTACCCAGGTGTTCTTTGTCTTTCAAGACCTTGACCATTTTAAAGAATAAGGCCTTTCTTTGTGTAAGATGTCCTTCAGTCTAGGTCCGGACTCAGGCCAAGCAGTATTGGCACAAATGTTACCGGCACGAGGCTGTGCTGTTTTCGTTGCATCAGTCAGAAAGCACATGTGAGTGATCTGCTTTAAGTGTTCCTAACGTTAACCTTGATCACAGGTCAAGTTTGTGTCGGCTGAGTTTCTCCACTGCAGAATTCCTGTTTTTTTCTTTGTAATTGATAAGTAGTTTATGGAGAGATCCTCTGAGACTGCTGGTTCCTCATTCCATTCCTCATCAAACCTGACGCATCAGCCTTAGCGTTCATTTGTGATTCCTGTCTGAAGCAGCTACCACTATAATGGTTGTCAGGTGGTGATTTGTCTATTTCCATTAATCCTTCTGGATTATTCTTTGGCACTCTACCATTAATGAGCTTTCCCTTCTATTTGTTTAATCTGTGTGGTCTCATGGCTTCCTATTTCAGTAATAGATTACAACCCATTGAATATCACTATTTACTTGGATGTTCATATTGTCTCATATTTGACTAGTGGGAACCCATTAGTGTGGTTTCTGTGTCATTTCTGCTTGCTCTGATCATTCTTTTTGCACTTCTTTACTGTGGTAGGCTGAATAATAGTCTTCCAAAGATGTTGACTTCCTAATCCCCAAGGCACCTAGGTTATCCAGATGGGCCAATGTAATCACAAGGATTTTTTATATAAGGGTCAGATGTGCACATCTCCTTCCTCTCTGCTTTCTCTGACCCTACTACCTAATAACCCATGGTAAGGAAGCAAAGGGTCAGAGAGAAAAATAGGAAGGTGCCATGCCACTGGGCTTGAGGATGGAAGAATGGTCATGAACTTGTTAACATGAATGTTCTTTGTTTATTTTGTCTGTTGTTAGGATGAGATCCAGGCACTTTTCTTTTTTGCATGGATTTTTCTTAAGCTACAAACTAAGTTCCATTATCTAATTACTAATTTTTTCCCCTACCCTCTTGAATTCTAACATGATTCTTTTAATTAGCCTACAGATGGAAACACCTGATTTCCACTTTTACTGGAGCCACTTTGGAAAACAAATAAGTACAAAATAATGTGATTTTTATAAATTTTGTGATAAAACTTTGCTAGGAAGCTTATAAAGACTCAAATTAAGGCTGCAGATTACCTTGGTGATTATAGTTAGAGTTCCTGCAGTCTGACAATTTGAGTATTTAAGGTAGTTTCAATAGCAAGGGTAAAATAGGTATCTGGGCTATTACTTGTATCAATTGTTACTGTAATTCTCTACTCCCAGGATTATAGCCCATGTTTCTGGAACATTGGTATCAAAGTGATCAAGTTGGTATGTTGATTTGTAAGTTCTTTAAACCTTCTTTTATATACCAGAAGGTCCTAAGGGTTTTAAGAGGGGCATTTTGAAAGTGAGAGGTTAGTTAATAGTAAATAGTAATTAGTAAACTTTAGATTCAGCCAAATCAAGGCACACATTCTAGGAGTGATACTTCTCAGCTAGCAGCTGTGAGCAAGTCCCTTAATTTCTCTAAACTTAAGTTACTTTATTTTTAAAATAGAAAAATTTTAGTTCTTTTATTTCTAAAATTGAAATGATACAAGGTTGTGAGGATAAAATGAGTATGTAAATACAATGCTATTCATGTAATAAATGTTCAATAAATGGCAGCTGTTAGAGTGACTTACTACAGTGCAAATGAACTCTGATGATAAGCTCAATAGTTAAGCATTTCTCTCTGTTTTTGAGACGGAGTCTTGCTCTGTCAACCAGGCTGGAGTGCAGTGGCGCCATCCCAGCTCACTTGCAGACTCTACCTCCCAGGTTCAAGCGATTCTCCTGCCTCAGCCTCTCAAGTAGCTGGAATTACAGGTGCCCACCACCTGGCCCAGCTAATTTTTGTATTTTTAGTAGAGAAGGGGTTTCACAATGTTAGCCAGGTTGGTCTCTAACTCCTGACATTAGGTGATCTGCCCGCCTCTACCTCCATCTCCCAAAGTGCTGGGATTATAGGGGTGAGCCATTATACCTAGCCCTTAAGCATCATTTCTCCTTAAGCATGTAATTCCTCCATGAATAGACTGAAGTTATTTTCCATTCTGTGCATTCTTTGTTTCTTTCAAGAAATTTTAAAGTACACATGGGGTTGATCAGATTGTATTTTAATTTTACATATTTATATTACATTTTGTAAACTATCCAGCAAATAGAGAGTGCATATTAATGTTAATACTGAAATGATGTTTTTAAATGTTCCATGTCAGTGTTCTTTCTATATTCAAAATCATTTCAAAGATGCATTGTTTCTTAAAGCAGTGATAGCATTTTTGCTGTTAGTATGCAATGTAGTCAAGCCACAATTAGTTTGACACCAAGGTGGTTATCGTATCATTACGTTAGATTGTAATTTAACTTTAGTGATATAGTAATTACTTCTGCCAGGTTTTAGTAGTTCTTGTTATCATAAGAGTTTAAAAAGGAGAAAAGTATATTCCAATGTATGCTTTTATTATTAAACATTTATGTCAGGTGGATATTCCATAGAGATGTTATCTTGACTCAGTTGTTAGAAAATAGATAAAATAGGAAATATAAGATCTCTGCTTCAATAAGACTGGCCGGATTATGATTATTTCACCATAATGGCAACATCTGCCAGGGAAATTAAAACAAAATTTCCTCCCTAAGGAGATTCTGCCTGCTCCAGCTAAAGCTGTGTATATACAGGGAATGCCAGGAAATTCTGACATATTGTTGGAGCAACTGCTTCAAAAATATCTTGTGTTTTTTCTGTTTTAGCAACTTCACTGTGTGGTGGTTGGAAGTGAAAATGCCAAACGATATTTTGAAGCAGTTCAAGGATCAAAAGAGCATCAAGGAGAGCTATTTGGGACCCATAACCTCTTCAGACTCAGGTCCCAAGGGCTCTTGTCTCACAAGGGACGTCCTGGAGGTGTGAACTTCTCTGACCTTTTCAATGACATTTTAAATGCAGTTTTTCTTCCTTAGGAAACTTGAAATACAACTGCTGTTGCCTTTTCAGAGAAATTTCTGGTTTTCTTTATCAAAAATGCCTTGGAATTTCTACTTTTAGCAGCGTAAGAAATGAATTATTATATCTCTAAACTAGATTTTTCGTAATTATGAATAATGTACACACACAAACACACATACTAGGTAGTATGTACTGCAAGGGCATTTTAAGACGGGCAGAGAGAAGTTTATTGTTTTGAAAACAGCTGTTGAAGTCAAGAACTAAAAAAAGAGGTTTTCCTAAATAAACAAAACATAAAATGTGTTTTGATTAAAAGTTACCAAATACTCCCTGAGATGTACTCTCATGTTTCATGGAGATTTTTTTTTTTCTGTTCCCAATAAAAATTCCACACCAATATTTTAAACTCTGCCCGTTGTGTTCATCCTCAGCATACAGTTGTTTCTTATTCTTGAAACAAAATATTTTATATCCTTTTTTTAAAAGGTCTTTAAGTTCTTTTATGTGCCAGCATACTAAGGATATTAACCTATTTTCTAGTTGATATTCATGTAGGTATCATAAAATCCTGGACTATCATCTTTTTCTTCCTCCTCACGGTATAGATGAAGAAACTAAGTCTTAAAGAACTTCAGGATATTTTCCTTGACTTCCAGGACTTTGTAGTAAAATCTTAATGTACTTCATTTATTCAGTAAGTACCATAAAGACAGTTCAAGGAACAATTGGTTCCTGTCCTTGAGGAACTTAAACCATCTTGACGGGAGGTGGAAGAGAAGGTTACATAGTAACCATGTAATGTCAGGAATCGAATGCTAAACAAGTTCAGCAGTAAACCATGGATGGATGGGGGAGAAGAAGGTGTGTAGTATTTGAAACCTGTAAATATCATTACTGTTTCACAATTTCTGATGTATACTGCCGAGTTTCTATTTTATAGTAACTACATTTGATTCTGAATTGAGTGGCCCATTTGGAGTCCTACATTTTGTAATTTTCCCCGTTGCTTTTAAATATGCTGTTTCTTTGATGAATTTGTTCTTTTCAGTTCCTCTTTTCATATCAGTAGCTCTGTTTGCCCTCTAGCTCCCACACCCAGCTGCCATCTCCATCTAAAGTACTACTTGACATGCCTATATTCATGTTAAAATCATTGTCTATAAAAATATTAGCATTACATTATCCTGTTTTCTGTCATATATGACATAGTTATCTGTTTTGTCAGAATAACCACCTATTCCTTTGTTAAACAAGTGTTCTATAAGATTTATCAGGATGGATCAAGACCATCCTGGTCAACATGGTGAAACCCCGTCTCTACTAAAAATACAAAAAATTAGCTGGGCATGGTGGCGCGTGCCTGTAATCCCAGCTACTCAGGAGGCTGAGGCAGGAGAATTGCCTGAACCCAGGAGGCGGAGGTTGCGGTGAGCCGAGATCGCGCCATTGCACTCCAGCCTGGGCAACAAGAGCGAAACTCCGTCTCAAAAAAAAAAAGATATATCAGGATGACAAGTTATTAAGTAGAGAAAGTTCTCTTGTTCATTGTGCCACTCTACACTAGCCTGGGTAACAGAGCAAGACTCAGTCTCACACAAACACCAAAATGTCCTCTTGTTCACTGGTTATTCTAAGAATATCTTATTTCTCCTTCAGAAGTGTTTATTAATGACAGGACCATCCGTGTCTTACATTTTCTTTTTAAAAAATATCTAAGTTCTGGCCGGGCGCGGTGGCTCAAGCCTGTAATCCCAGCACTTTGGGAGGCCGAGGCGGGTGGATCACGAGGTCAAAAGATCGAGACCATGCTGGTCAACATGGTGAAACCCCGTCTCTACTAAAAATACAAAAAATTAGCTGGGCATGGTGGCGCGTGCCTGTAATCCCAGCTACTCAGGAGGCTGAGGCAGGAGAATTGCCTGAACCCGGGAGGCGGAGGCTGCGGTGAGCCGAGATCGCGCCATTGCACTCCAGCCTGGGTAACAAGAGCGAAACTCCGTCTAAAAAAAAAAAAAAAAATCTAAGTTCTTCAATGTACCAGAACACTCAGGATATTAACCTATTTTCTAATTGATGTTAATAACGAGTGACAAGGCCATCCATGCCCTGCACTTGTCTTGCTAGGCATATCATTGGCACTTGATTATTAAGTTAAATTTTGAATTACAGTTGCTCATTTGTCATCAATCAGAATGTAAAATTATTCAGGGTTGGTTAGATTCATGCTGCTTTGGGCCAAAAGGTGTTTCTAAACATGATTATTCCAAGCCCCATATAATGGGAGCACATATCATGAGGTCAAAGAAGTATTTCACTTCATATGAGACTTTTAATTTTTAAAGGTTGTATAAAATCTCTTTTAAAATGTTTTAAGATGTAAACATTTGAATTTTTATACTTTTAAAAAATCTTATGATTTCTGGGCAATTTCGTTCTATTTTGCATTGACTTTCCATTATCTATATTATAGTTTCTCTTCAAAGATAGATATTGAGAGTTCATTTTACAAGCATTTATTGAGCATCTGTGAAATGTCGGGTACTGTTCATAGAGCTGTGCTTACATAAAAGAACAAAATAGACAAAACAGTCCTGTCGACCAGAAGTCTGCATTCTTTGTGGGGAGACAAATGATAAACGGAATAAATAAGTGAAATACAGAGTATATTATGATAGGTTCTGAGGAGCTGCCAAGGAAGGAGCATTTTTAGATGGGGTATCCAAGGAAGCCCTCCCTCCGAAGGCTGCATATGAATATTCAAAGAGGTGAGGGAGGAAGGTGTGTTTTTGATGGGGGAAACAATTGCAGAGGTCCTAAGGGAGGAGCATGCCCCATGTGATCTCACAATTTCAGGGAGGCCATAGTAGTTGCAGTAGAGTATGCAAGAGAGCAGGAGAGGGGGCAAGAGAGATGCCAGAGAGCCAGGCCATGCAGGAACTTTGACTTTTACTTGAGTGAGACAAAAAGCAATTAAAGAGTTCTGAACAGAAAGTTGACAGAGTCTGATTTATATTAGCTTGACTTAGTATTGAAAACTAGACAATAGAAGTACAAGGACAGAAGCAAGAACCCAGTTAGGAGGATACTGCAGTAACCCAGCAGAGAGATGATGGTGGCTTGAGCCAGGGTGACAGTGGTGGGTGGCGTGAGAAGTGGCTGGATGCTGGATATATTATCCAGGTGGCACTGACAGGCTTTGCTGATGGGTCACATATAGGGTATGAGAAAAAGAGAGGAGCTAAGGATGGCTCCAAGGTGTTTGGCCTGAGCAGCTTAAAACTGGAGTAGCCATTTATCTATTATGAAAGAGTTTCAACAGCTTTCAGGTTTCTAGTACTGCCACTTTCACCTGTTGTAGCCATTTAGCTTCTGTTACGGAGATAAATGGTAGCTTGGGAATGAGGCTTCCCATCCCATTGCTGTAATAGACTTGAGGAATGGGGAATAGCGGACTTGTAGTGATTCAGAAATCGTTGATCATTCCCTAGAGTTCCATAAAGGAGATTCTCTCTCATTGCGCAGGATACCAGGTAGCTGGAACCATGCCGTTAGTATGTCTGTGTATTCCGAAGTTGGGCATTTGTAACTCTGGTGATGGTAGTATTATTTCTTCTTGCTCTGTCAACAAATACAGCCTTAAAAAAAAAGATTTCCTTTTGAGGAGAATTTAATATTCTAGAATCTAGACCATTAGAACTCCTGCTAAATAATACACCAGAAGCTTTAAAGTGCAAATACTTTCCCAAAAGTGTAGCAAACCTGTTACATAACTAAAATATTATTTTTAATTTCATATTAGATGGACATTTTTATTTTGATGTCTACTACACTTAAGGGGTATTTTTAAATGAATATGAACAAGAAATAACAGTAACAACATAGGCTAGGATATCAAATTTCCAATATTCAACATTGTGGTGTTTAAAATGTTAGTATGTCCTTACCGTAATTATTATATGGGAATGGTTGTTACGGATATTATACCGGGTAAATATATAACATTTCTTCACACTCTCTCTCCGCATTAGTACTTTTAATGAAGTTGGCTGGAAAGTATTCGTTTTCTGTGTCTGAAAAAGTAAACTGTAAGAATTAAGAGTATTTTGAACTGTTACATAAACTTTTATATATGATTAGCAAGTTGAAAAACAACATTAAGAATGCTGTAGCATGTACTGCTATTGTTTGGTTGTGCCGCCCCCTGTGTTGCATAGCTGTTTGCATTCTTTGTTACTGATGTTATGTAGAGAGAAGGCCAAGTGGAAGCAGGGATCATGACAGCCACAACGTGGTTGAAAGAGCGATCTCCAGCACACAAACCAGAAACGGTAAGTTCGTGTTTGAACCTGAAGCCTGCAACACCTGGGAAACATGCACCGTGACCGTTTTGTTTCTTTACCTTTTTCCTTCACTTTTCAACCTGTAAGAAAAAAAAAATTAAGAGTCGAGGACACAAAGTCAGAGGACTATGGATAAAATTAGTAATTTAGGCAGATTTAACATTCATATCATAAGAACAAATTCAGGAGCAGTTCAGGCATTTACAGCTGAAGTGAATTTTAACTACACCACACTGAAAATACAGTACCACCTCGGTAAGTAACCCATCCCAAATAAACCATTTCTAACTAAATGGTAAGTTAAATGGAACAATCACCATCAATGTGTATTTAAAATTATTAAACCCAAATATCAAAATTGGTCTCAGATTCAAAGTGGATGTTTTATTTTATTTGATGCCTTAATTTTGTGATCTTTATAGTAGTTTGCCATCTCATGTACCACAAAATCTTTATTGTCATTATAAGGCCATCTTAAAGGTAAAAAATATGTTTGGAAGGTTTTTTTGTTAATGTTGCTGGTTTTTTCTTGTTTACTTGTAGAGTATTAACTATCAATTTATACCAGCCCAATGACTTTAAAGTTGGGGTGAAATTTTTATGAATTTAGAGAAATACACAAATATCAAATATTGGCAAAAGTATTACCAGATGATACTTTCCCACAATCTTTTACTAATAGAGCCTCAGTTTTAGAAAACTGTAAGATATATTTAACTCTGATTATTGTGAAAAAATTACATATTGAATTTAAATTTGTAGCAAATTTTATTTCAAGATTCTTTATTTCTGGTGATCAAGATCCTATTGGCCTTTTAAATCAATTAGAACAATTTTCCAGTTATCAGTTCTTTACCTTGTTAACTCCTGTAATCTGTCTTATTCTTAAAGCATGATTGGAAGTATATGCTAGACTACAGTAAACTCCAGTAATTCTTAAGCAGCAAGTCGTGTGCTTTTCACTTTTGAGGCGAGAATGATGTGTCCTTGCATCTTAGAAGCCAAACACTTCACTTTATGTTTTTCTTCAAAATACTTTGATTATATGGTACTCCAGTTTAAACTTTTATTTATTTTGGAACAATATTCAACATGGAAAGAGAAGAGACTGTACTAGACTATGATATTAAACGCTTTACATTTTTTAATGAAATGTTGTAAATACTAAGTGATATACTTGTACCTAAATTACCTGCCCAGAGTTGTTCAGTTGATTCCTTATTTTTATCTTGAGGTTTTCTGAGGTTTTTATCATTGCTTCTTCTGTAGCCTACAGAGCCTGACTGTCAGGATCGCAGAGGTCCAGAACAAGCTGCAGAGCCACTGGCAAAGGAAGCGTGTGGTTTCTGCAGCGACTTCAGTGATGAAGATCCAGTGGGAGCTGCAGGAATGCAGACGGCCAAAAACAAAGCACCCGATTCAAGTAAAGCTTCCACCTCTCCAGGACAGCTTACTTTACTCCAGTGTGGTTTCTCGAAATTGTTTGAGACAAAATGTAAAGCAGTTGAGGATAGTGATGGAAATACTGCCTCTGATGATGAAAGTTCTGATGAGCAGCCCATATGCCTTTCAACAGAGGCCAAAGTTGCTGACTGTGGGAAAAATCAGGACTCTCTTGGTACTTCAAAACATCAGAAATTAGATATCCTAAATCCAAAAGAAAAGTATATTTTTTATAAAAATGAGAAAATTTTAGAACAGAATATTTCTTCTAAATCTGATGATGAGAAAACATTTAAAAATACAGATAAACATTGCATTTTACAGACTGTCTCAGAATCAGAAGATAGTGATGTCATCTGTCCTACACAATATACAACTGAGAGATTTCCCAACAATAGTATAAGGTTTAAGCAACCCTTGGAGGGATCTGAGGATTCTGAAACAGAACGCTCTGTAAAAACAAGAAATGATGATGGTCGAAAGACTGATGACAGAAGAGATGGAATAATTTCAAAAAAGTTAAGTCCTGAGAACACAACCCTGAAATCTATTGTGAAAAGAAAAGTCACTAGTGATATTAGTGATGAATCTGATGACATTGAGATTTCTTCCAAGTCAAAAGTAAGAAAGAGAGTTACTAGTTCATTGAGGTTTAGGAGAAGAAAGGAAACCAGGAAAGAACTTCACAGGTTTCCTAAAACAATCAACAAAACAAAGCAACTATGTGCAACGGATGAGGATCATAACTCTCAATTTATTGATGATTATTCATCCTCAGATGAGAGTTTATCCGTCAGCCACTTCAATTTCTCTAAACAGAGCCACAGACCAAGAACTATAAAAGATCGAACCAGTTTTTCTTCAAAATTGCCTAGCCAAAATAAGAAAAATAGCACTGTGATGCCAAGAAAACCAGTGAAATGTTCAAATGAGAAAGTTGTCAATCAAGAGCAGTCATATGAATCAATGGATAAATTTTTAGGTAACCGAAGACACATTATGAAAACTTTTTAAAATATGTTTTGTTTTATCAAATAGTTTTGTGAGAAACTTTGAATCAAGATGCTGGATTGAGACATAAATAAGGGCTGGGTAGCAGGATAAATGGGAGACCACATATAGGTCAAGATAGAGAATGTTGCCATCTACCCAAGGACCCCCTCCGTGTGCCTGTCCAAATCACAGCTCCTCTGCCCCCATAAATACCAATTATTTTAGCTTCTATAGTAATTACTTATTTACATTTATATGGTTATATCACCAAATGTTCATACGTAGGTGAATGAGTTCATTTTCACGCTGCTGATAAAGACATACTTGAGACTGGAAAGAAAAAAGGGTGTAATAGATCCACAGTTCCACATAGCTGGGGGGGCCTCCCGATCATAGCAGAAGGCAAGGAGCAAGTCACATCTGACGTGGATGGTGGCGGCAAAAAGAGAGCCCGTGCAGGGGAACTCCTCTTTGTAAAACCATCAGATCTCGTGAGACTTACTGTCATGAGGACAACATGGGAAAGATTCAGTTACCTCCCTCCAGCTTCCTCCCATGACACATGGGACTTACGGGAGCTACAGTTCAAGATGAGTTTTGGGTGGAGGCACAACCAAACCCTGTCACTAGGTATTACGGTTTAGTCTCATTCATTGTTGAAAATGTTATGGAGTATCTTCTAATCTGCAGGAATCCTCATCCCTTTCACTGCCTTACAATGTAACCATGGAGGTACCTGGATCAACTCCAGAAGTTTCCCTCAGTTTTCATGTTGCTAATTGTATCCTCTCCATGCATTTAAACTTGCTCCTCTGTCCTCTGTTACCTGCGAAAGAGCAGTTGGTTCCTGAGACTGGATCAACATTCAGAGTTTGTTTTTGCCTGTACTCTCCCTTTTCTTCCGTTTTTAAAATGGATATCCTACATCTTCACTGTCAAAGACACCGACATTGCATCATATACTCTCCCCACTTACACGTCAGTTACCCGTGGTGCACAGGTAGCTACACATTTCACGCACCCCGTCAGTCCTTACTGTCAGTGTTCTTGCATCACTCATTGTCCGAATCCTACTGACTAGTAGATTCCTGAAGAAGTGTTTGTGAGAATAATATTCCCTGAGATTCTTACAATAACAGTTTGCTACCCTTATACTTAAAAGTTAAGTTTTGCTGGATGTAAAATACTTGGCTCACATTGTCTTTTCTTGAGTGTCTTGAAATACGTAGCTTCGTTTTCTTCTGGCATAAAGTGTGGTATTATGTGGTGGTGGTTTTTTTTTTTCCTCCTTAGATTACCAGGGGATTTTTTTTTTCTTTTCATTGTCCAATAATTTTACTAGATTGTGTGTTGATGTTGGTTGTCCTGGGTCTGTATTCTCATATACACAGTGTTGCTTCCACTCAAATTTTCTTTCGGGAAAGACTTTCTTGTAGTAATGCTTTTAGCTACTTGTTCTATTCTTTTGCTTTGGCTTTCTTCCTCAGGGACTCCTGTTACTCAGATGTTCCGTCGTCTTTGCCTGTCTTCAGTTGTCACATTCTCTCAAATCTTTTATCTCTTCATTCTGTTTTGCATTTTAAAAATATTCTATTTTTCTTAAGGCTTATCTGTTGTGTTTATTCCCTCTTACATTTCTTCTAGTTTAGTCTTCATTTTTTTAATTTAAAAAAATTTCTGAGTCTTTCCTAAGTCCTGGTCACCCAGATGTCTGAGTTCCTCTAATTCTGATTTATATTGTTGTTGATTCCCGTCTTTTTCTGTTTTGTGAGTACATCTTTCTAGCACATTCTCATTGGAGGGATATTATTCTGCATGTTCTCTTTTTTCTCACAATAATTTTTAGGAGATTTGACCCTGCTATTTTTCTTCTGGTCATTTTTATATGAAATTATTTCCCCTGAATTTTACAAACGAAGCAGAGTTCAGGAAATCTTTGTTCACTTGGCAGAGATCCACATGTTATTTCTGTGTAGAGTGCCACGCTATGGTGGGCTTTCCTCTCTCTCTGCCTTGCGTTGCTCTAGATCTTTTCTTTCCCTCATCCTTGTTCTTCCTATCCTTGATTCACTCCCAGCAGTTTTTCCTCTTTGTTGGGCCCTGACCTGGGTGAGGGCCCTGGTGGGTCAGTTTGGGGGGTTCTAGAGATTGGCTTGCTCCAGCCCCTCCAGGCCTTCTTACTGTGTACCCCCTGCACCCTCTCAGCATTGGAGAGCAGGAAGCCTTCCCCGATTCAGCTGCTGGTCTCCAGCTGGCCCCTTGTGCTTTCCAGTGAACACCTATTGGCTATTCTGGGGTCTCCTGTTCTCAGGTCTGCCAGGAGCCCTGTTGCTTCCTCCTTCCTTCACACAGTTGCTGAAACCATGCAGAGTTCTTAGCTACTGGTAGATCGTGCCCACCTGCCTGTACTGTAGGGGTCATGGGGGTATCTTGTTATCTGATTTTGTTGTAAATGTCCATGGGCTTTTGGTTTTGTTGTGTAGTTGCTGCCTGTTTTTGTGCACAGATTCAGAGAGTCTCCTGCTTCTGCTGTTACCACCCTCTGCCCAGAATCTGTGTGGTGATTTTAAGAGTTAGCGTTGCCTTCACACGTGTCTGGCTTATTCCCCAAAAACTATATGAAAGAAGCTGAGATATAAGCTATTTTGCTATAGAAATCTTAATGGCTTTGATTTATATGTAAATCAGGCTTTCTTTGTGGCTATTAGTATTCTTACTTAAAAGTTTGTTATGATACATATTTTGGTATCATTGTAAATAAGGGCTGAATTATCCCTTTGGTTTGTGTGCTACAGTTAGATTTTAGGTTTAGGAATGATTGTATAAACTATTTTTAAATAATCAACTCAGGGTTTTCTGTTTTTTGTTTTTTTTGTTTTTTACTGTGAAAAGTGTCAATAGTTAGTTTGGAACTAATGCCATTTTGAATAATGGATAAAATGTGTCATCAGAATTAAACATCTGAGGAAATTTTCTGCTTTGAAGGTTTTGAAACTATGTGCCGTGTATATTACCTGGCATCTTGAAATTTAAGGAGAATGTTAAACTAGTTACTGTCTCTTCATATTATTTAACAACGTCTTATGTTTGCATGATTGGCAATTTCTGGTTGAAGAGGTTCGGGACAGGAAGAACACAAGTGTTGAAGGTCATACCTCAGGTTCGCTGCCAGAGCTGTTGGAGGGAGCTTTTACAGGCTGCGATTCTAGCCTTCTCTTTTATGATCACAATTCAAAAATGAATTATAGGTGCCTAGAAGCAAAGCAGTAAAAATTGTAGCCATTTTTTAAACCTGTTTCAGATAAAAGCTATGAGTTAATTTTTCTCATTTCCTAAAAAGCTCTCATCTTGACATTCTCTGGGCACATATACAAAAAAGACAAAATACGAACAATAAAACTGAGCAAAACCAATCAAACGAAACTCCCTGGTCATAAACCCTATACTCCCTTTCCATCACTGTAATCAAGTACATGCTTAAAGGGACAGATAAGGTTAGCTTCATTCTTAAAATTAGTGCACAACTTTTTTTTTTAATTAACAATGAAAGCAAATTCATAGGACCCTCCTCAGCCGTGACTTCTCTCTTACTGAAACCTCCATTTCAAGTTTAAATCTAAAGATTGTTACCTACTATCTAGTTCTCATCTCACATTGATGAGAAGGAAAAGTCATTTCCAAGGTAACCTAGACCAACATATTTGAACTCTTTCTCTTTCCCATTTTTTTTCCTAAAGAATATTGTGATGTTGATGTTTCTCTTGAGTATTAAAAGTAAGAATAATGTGTTTTTATGGAACCGTATTGCTTTATACTGATATGTCACTTAATAAACCTCTGTTACCTCCTAGATGGTGTTCGGGAAGTGGCTTATATTCACTCAAACCAGAATGTGATTGGATCGAGCAAAGCCGAAAATCACATGAGCCGATGGGCAGCACATGATGTATTTGAGTTGAAGCAGTTTTCCCAGCTGCCTGCTAACATAGCTGTTTGCACTTCTAAGGTAAGAAGAATAGAAGATAGTATCATCTTAGTTACCTCATTTTTTACAGAATTTACTCAATAGCGTCTTCTCTAAGTACTCCCTCAAAAGTAGCTACTAAAACTGTAAGTGACATACAAATAAGTATAAAAATCAAAACACCATTTGGGAACTATAGTCATTGAAGATGTTTTAGATTAAACAACAAATTTACACCCAAACGCCTAACAATGTTGAATCGCTTAATAGTTTCCCTCAATAAAAATTGGACAGTACTCCCAAAATGAAAAGGAATATGAGGGAATCATACAGTTCAATCAGAACCAAAACCATTTCTGCTCATATGGAAAAAGGAAAGTGTGTGATTAGATTGCTCCACAATTTTTCACCAAAATGACACACACAGAAAACTCATTTCATGTAGAATTTATATTTTTAGCAAAAGGATTTTTATACTGTTAAAAGTCATAATTACTTCCTGTGGACTCTTCTCACTTAAAAATGCTGTTGTGATATTTTTGTTTATACATAATCACTTTCATCAAAGCTTTTTTTTTTTTTTTTTTTTTTGAGACGGAGTTTTGCTCTTGTTACCCAGGCTGGAGTGCAATGGCGCGATCTCGGCTCACCGCAACCTCCGCCTCCTGGGTTCAGGCAATTCTCCTGCCTCAGCCTCCTGAGTAGCTGGGATTACAGGCACGCGCCACCATGCCCAGCTAATTTTTGTATTTTTAGTAGAGACGGGGTTTCACCATGTTGACCAGGATGGTCTCGATCTCTTGACCTCGTGATCCACCTGCCTCGGCCTCCCAAAGTGCTGGGATTACAGGCTTGAGCCACCACGCCCGGCCTCAAAGCTTTTTAAAAAATATTTTCTTCTGTTTGACTTACGATTATTTATTACTTTTTAGGAGCTAAGTGCCTCAAGAGCAATTTTACTATCACTTTATGGGTGAGAGTTCAAAATTCATACTGTATGTAATACCAATATTTTATGTCAACTTAGTGCTATTATACTTTTAATAATGAAGGTGGGGGTAGAATTCCTCTGAACTATCAAGGGAATTAATTTATTTGTACCTCACTTGTTTGACAAAGGAATTAAATTACCTTAACAATAAAACCAGAGTACAAAATGAAATTCAGGGCCAGAGAAAATATATAAATTAAACTGGAAGTTTAAGACTGGGAGAAAGTTACACTGCAACTGCTTAGGACATAATACATTCTACCCAGATACTGTATTAAAATGGCTAATTTGATTGAGTTTTCTGGTAGAAAAAACAAAGGAGGTAAGCCATCTATGTAGCGATTTCTCAACTAGTGCATGTGGAAATGCGTGTGGACAGTTTGGGTGGTCACAGTGACTGTGCGCCTAACTGGCATTCCTGTCTGGAAGCCAGGGATTCCACATGGCTGTCCCGGAGAGGGGACTAGGTTGAGGGGGGCTAGTAGAGAGGCAGTCCTACATGCAAAGAATTGTTCTGCTCAAAATGCCATAACACCCTCCAGAGAAAGGCTGAGTAAAATCTTTATCCTTAAGGGAAAAAAAAAATAACACGGGTTCTAGGAGGAGCAAAGCTTTTCCTAGCACTTAATTTGAAGGAAATTTGTCTCTTGGGGGTTTTTGGAGACCACAGAACGATATCGTGAACAGTCAAGTGTCATATAATAATATCCTTAGAATAAAATGTAATAACAGACTTTAAAAGGCTATACTTTCCAGCATTTTTCAATGTCATCCATAGGCCCAGTGCCAAACTACAACTCGTGAAAGCATTCTTTCATGACCCAAGTATGCTGCTTTTTATACTTGTCTTCTCATTTGATCCAGGAATGTACCATTTCTCAACCAACACTTTAAACAGCATTTCTACAGTTTGACTACCATGTATGTGCTATCTGAAAAAGGCAGGCAGAATTATGTTAGGTTTTCCAGAAACTTGCTTTGTTAGGATAAAGAGTATAGCAGAATCTTTTAAGCAGATAGCTAATTTTTTGTTAGGATTCTTTTTCAAACTGTGCCCTTTTTTAAAACCTTCTCCATACAAACAAATTTTAATGTGAAAGGTCAGATAATTTGGCAAACCCTGTAGTGGACATTAATGAAATAATTGGATACTGGTCATTCGCCTGTCTAAATATTTATCAGAAAAGAAATTTACAAGCATATAATTTCTGCAGAAATTGACCTGAGAAGCAACCTTCTTCTTAAGGAAAGTTATGCAAATGAAAATGCCAGAAACACAGTTTGCCTGTGAGCTTTTTTAGTCCAAATATTTTTGAGGTGGACAACACAATCTCACTAGAAACCTTGTCTCTTCACAGTGATTTTAAGAGGGAGGGGCATCTCTTGCTAGGAAACAAATTGGAATACCTACTCCCTGGGGGTTATAACATACCCTTCGAGGCCATATATATCCCTCATCACACATACACCAACTTAGTAAACCCTTTTCAGAGAAGAAAGAAATTAACTGTTTAATGACTAAATTGGGGTGAAGTTTTAAAGCCACTAAATGGGAGGTCCATTTCCATGGCACCAATGCTAACAGGCCAGACACAGTCTACAGATAACGCTCATTTCACTGGCTGACTTAAGTCAGTAACTGATACAGCAAAATTTCATTCTAACATTGCAAAGCTGTCTCATAGAATTTCTGAGAAAAAGTGTTCCCAATCACTGATTTCATCCTATCGTGTCAATATTACTTCAGCACCTTGAATGAGGAAATCACTGAAACACACCATCATCTTTGGCTAGGGATATTTATGTCACTCACTGAGAGGTTTTGCAGCTGGTGTGGCAGTGGGTGGCAATAGTGAATTTGCAGTTTTGAAAAAAAAGTTACTAGAAGAAAAGAGAATAAACAAAGGGAAAGGGAAATGAAGCAAGAACAAAAGAGACTCAATCATAGTGTTAGAAAATACCTGCAAACTTCTTGATCCTGAAGTCTCCAAAAAACCCCAGACCTCCCACCGACAGTACAGTATCTTTCATCTGGGGCTCAATCTAGAATCTTTTCGGTTACTGAGAATTCTTCTGAGTGCTTCATGTCTGTCATCAAAGTTTTATTAAAGAACTTTACTTGTGTTTGAAACGCTTGTGTGTGCATGCCTATGTGTCAGTTGCAGACATGTTGTCTCAGTAAGAAAATAAATCCTATTTGTTTTATGAAATCAGTACACAAATAACAGTTGTCACAATATACCAGTATTTCAGCTTCTAAGGAATACCATAGTTGAGTCAGAATTAGAACCTTTAACTAGATTGCAAAGGAATATACTAAATGGAAAATTGTAAAAGAGAAGTAATAAGCCCCACAATCCTAGCTAAGATTCTATGGTCTTTCAGAGTTTTCCAGTCTTTTTGATGTCTGGTAATTATTGATAACCAAAATGACAAAAACTGTGAATCGACTTTTCAAGTTCAATCATATATCTTAAAAAGGAGTAAGATACATTACTGGTTTCAGTGTTTTCTTTGGTTTCTTATAGTTGATACTTTTATAAATTAGCTTTTATTTATGTTCTGTATTTTAAAGATGTCCCGTTTCTCCTAACATAAATTTTGAATTATACCATTGTTATTTGATAATACAAATTATGTAAAGTAATGTGTAAAGTAAGAACACATTTTGCCTAAAATTATATTTTGATACTTTAGAACCATTTCTGAAAACAGCTGTTTTTACAAGGTGAGATGTCTGATTAACAGGAGAGAAAACCTGTGTGACTTACGTTTTAAACTCAGGCCAAAAAGAAACATTTTAAGCATTTGAAGGGACTGATAATACCTTTATTAGGGTTTATCTGTTCTTTTAATATATGGATGTATGTCACGGAGCTGAACTGTACCTGTTTGTGATGCGGTACCTCCTTTTCTCAGTCAACTGCACGTTTTCAACTTAAGTTTACTTAAAATTTTCTGAAAAGAAATGTACAAAGACAGCCTTCAATTAAGGATTAATCACTATGGCAACTGAGATGTGGTGACTGAAGGGGGAGGATGTATTCTCCCCCCAGTTTCCTGCCAGCTGTCATAGTCAGCCTCTGCTGCCTGAATCCAAGCCAAAATATAGACTGTGACCAACTCTAAGAAACTATATCTGTATTTTTATAAATTGGTACAAGTATCAGACTATAAAAGAAGACTTAATCCCTTGAACTAGATGACAGACACTTGGCACTCTTGCCAGTGTTTGACAGAGAAATAACGGGTCGCTTTGTAGTAAAACCTGGATTAATAGTAAGCCCCTCTTTATGTTATTGCAGTGTGGTGTAAATGAGAGAACTAAGCATGCTGTCAGCCTGGGGTGGGAGGTGGCGTGGGGGGAGTGTCTTTTATATAACCAGTGCAGGTTTAAGCACTGTTCAGAATACTGTAAATACAAAATATTGTGTTAGTAAGAACTTCTCTTTCTTGTATTTGTATTAGATTGGCATTCTGTAGATTACTTAAAGAAAGGATTTCTGTGAGCTATGGTGGGTTTGATTGCAGTGTGTTTATACAGCTTTTGGAGTCCGCAAGGAGGGATGGACTGTTTACAGTGAGCAGACTTTGGGGAGATAGAGCATTCCATTATCCTGTTTTTCAGGATAATGAATGGCATGATGATTTAAAGTAATTGTTCACAAATGGCTGGTTTACAAAGTAGTCCGGTAAGCAAGGTTTATGGTTTCAGCATGTAACTCTCACTGGGTGGGATTTTTCGTGGTCTTACCGTTTTTCTTTCTGTAGCTAAACATTAATTTTATGGCATTTGTATCAGAAAGTTATTCTTTCAAGTAATTCTAGTAGACATCAAGATTTTAAAATATGTGTGTGTGTGTGTATATATATATGTATATATATGTATATATATATATATATATATATATGAAATTATGTGACTGGTATTGACATGAAAAAGGCTTTTGTGTTTCTCTGCCTAGAACTAGGATTGGTTGTAGATAGCATTCTGATTCAGAAGATAATATGTCATTTGAGTGGCAAATACCTGCTGGTCAGAGGAAGGAGA